TAACCAAAACGTTGTATTTGGATTACCTCCCTTACACTGTTTTAGATTATCTTTATTGTTCATTAACCATTACTTTATACATAATTTAAAAGCAGTGTAAGGGAGATAATTTCAATGATGTATTTGATTTATCTCCCTTACACTGCTTTAAATTATGTTTTGTACTAAAGTATTTGTCCATTAACCAGGACAACCTTGTTTTTCCCCCTTTTTTGCCCCTAATTCCTAAACGGTTTGAGCCATAACCCCCCAAAGCAAATCCTAACCATCCCTTTGTGGTATGGAAACTTGTAGTATAATTTCAGAGAGATCCATACACCGTTCCACAGTTATTGTCTGGAAACTAGAAAATGCTCATTTTTGGCCCCTTTTTGGCCCCTAATTCCTTAACTGTTGGTACCATAACCCCCAAAATCAATCCCAACCTTCCTTTTGTGGTATTTAACCTTATGGTCAAATTTCAAAAAGATCCATTCACTTAAACTAAAGTTAGAGTGCGAAAACCAATATGTATTCGGACGACGACGCCGGACGACGACGACGACGACGACGACGACGACGACGACGCCAGCGTCATACCAATATACGACCACAAAATTTTTTTGCGGTCGTATAAAAACTAAATAAAATGCTCCGCTGGGCGCAGCTTGATACTACGGCAGAGGTCGAACCCTGAACTGTTGGGGCAAGTATGGACACAACATTCAAGCTTGATACAGCACTGAATTTGGATTGTGATTAAATATTTGACACAGCATAGGTTTCTGACACAGAATGAATGTGGTCTAAGAACTTAAAAAAATTTAATTTACCTATTCAAACCATATCATTATTATTTGCTTTTATATATAAATCAGAAATAACCAATTTAAAATGGAAAATTTTAAAGAAAAAAAGGGAAAAAAAAATCCCCCCTCAAATTTTTTGAACCCCCTTATGATTCATCACCCCCAAACTCAATCCCAGCCTTCCCTTTGTGTTACAATGTATGGTGCCTTGCAGTACAATTTCAGAGAGATCCGTACACTTGAACACAAGTTATTGTCTGGAAACTAGAAAAATGCTTGTTTTTTTGCCCCTTTTTGGCCCCAAATTCCTAAACGTTTAGGGCAATTACCCCCAAACTCAAACCCAGCTTTCCCTTTGTGATATGGAACCTTGTTGTATAATTTCATAAAGATCCATACACTTACACACAAGTTATTGTCTGGAAACTAGAAAATGCTTATTTTTGGCCCCCTTTTGGCCCCTTATTCCTAAACTTTTTGGGCAATTACCCCCAAACTCAATTCCAGCTTTCCCTTTGTGATATGGAACCCTGTAGTACAATTTCAGAAAGATCCATACACTTACACACAAGTTATTGTCCTGAAACTAGAAAAATGCTTGTTTTTTTGCCCCTTTTTCCTAACATTTTGAGGCAATTACCCCCAAAATCAATCCCAGCCTTTCCTTTAGTGGTATGGTACCTTGCAGTACAATTTCAGAGAGATCCATACACTTGAACACAAGTTATTGTCTGGAAACTAGAAACGCTTATTTTTGGCCCCCTTTTGGCCCCTTATTCCTAAACGTTTTGGGCAATTACCCCCAAACTCAATTCCAGCTTTCCCTTTGTGATATGGAACCCTGTAGTACAATTTCAGAAAGATCCATACACTTACACACAAGTTATTGTCATGAAACCAGAAAAATGCTTGTTTTTTGCCCCTTTTTTGGCCCCTAATTCCTAAAATTTTGAGGCAATTACCCCCAAAATCAATCCCAGCATTCCTTTTGTGATATGGAACCTTGTGGTACAATGTCAGAGAGATCCATACACTTACACACAAGTTATGTCTGGAAGTTACAAAAATGCTTATTTTTGGACCCTTTTTGGCCCCTTATTCCTTAACTGTTGGTACCATAACCCCCAAAATCAATCCCAACCTTCCTTTTGTGGTATTGAACCTTGTGGTAAAATTTCATAGAGATCCATTTACTTAAACTTAAGTTAGAGTGCAAAAACCAATGTGTCTTCGGAAGACGACGACGCCAACGTCATACCAATATACAACCACAAAATTTTTTTTGCGGTCGTATAAAAATTAGTCAGAAACATCATTTAAGGGCAATAATTCCTAAAAGGAGTCATTGGAATTGGAATTAGGTTTATCGAGTCATTCTGAGCATTTTTGCCCATGTTGAATTTTCTCTATCTTTTATGGTTTTCAATAATGATGATGCCAAGTTATGGCAAAACGGTACAGGTGGGTGAAAAAGACATAAATATCTAATATTTTTACAGTACTAGATCCTACATATATATATACAATACGGTTTGATCTGTTGACCTACATTTTTGTTTTCAAATCATGTAATGTTCATTAGAGAAGTAAATGTTGAAACAAGAAAATGTGTCACATTGACACAATTCCTTGCTCACCCTATTACATTTCCATGATAACAAACCAATGATTAGGAAAGTCAAAACAATAAACTGACATTCGCATAAATAATTTTCCATCAATGCATGTATTGGTATTTTATTTTAACATGACCATTGGAAGTAAACTCAAAGATTAAACCAATAAAAATAAAATGCTCCGCAGGGCGCAGCTTGATACGACCGCAGAGGTCGAACCCTGAACAGTTGGGGGAAGTATGGACACAACATTCAAGCTTGATACAGCTTTGGATTTGGATTGTGATTAAATATTTGACACAGCATAGGTTTCTAACACAGATTGAATGTGGTCTAAGAACTTAAAAATTTTAAATTGGACATTCACCTATTATGGTCCAATATCCAAAATCTAAATACATGGTTAGATTCAGCATATCAAAGAACCCCAAGAATTCAATTTTTGATGAAATCAAACAAAGTTTAATTTTGGACCCTTTTGACCTCAATGTGGACAAAGTTGATAACGGGGCCCAAAAATCAAAAATCTAAATACATGGTTAGATTCAGCATATCAAAGAACCCCATATATTCAATTTTTGTTGAAATCAAACAAAGTTTAATTTTGGACCCCGATTTGGACCAACTTGAAAACTGGGCCCATAATCAAAAATCTAAATACATGTTTAGATTCAGCATATCAAAGAACCCTAAGAATTCAATTTTTGTTAAAATCAAACTAAGTTTAATTTTGGACCCTTTGGACCTTAATGTAGACCAATTTGAAAACGGAACCAAAAATTAAGAATCTAAATACACGGTTAGATTCGGCATATCAAAGAACCCCAATAATTCAATTTTTGATGAAATCAAACAAAGTTTAATTTTGGACCCTTTTAACCTCAATGTGGACAAAGTTGATAACGGGGCCCAAAAATCAAAAATCTAAATACATGGTTAGATTCAGCATATCAAAGAACCTCATATATTCAATTTTTGTTGAAATCAAACAAAGTTTAATTTTGGACCCCGATTTGGACCAACTTGAAAACTGGGCCCATAATCAAAAATCTAAATACATGATTAGATTCAGCATATCAAAGAACCCTAAGAATTCAATTTTTGTTAAAATCAAACTAAGTTTAATTTTGGACCCTTTGGACCTTAATGTAGACCAATTTGAAAACGGAACCAAAATTTAAGAATCTAAATACACAGTTAGATTCGGCATATCAAAGAACCCCAATAATTCAATTTTTGATGAAATCAAACAAAGTTTAATTTTGGAACCTTTGGACCTCAATGTGGACCAATTTAAAAACGGGGCCCAAAATCCAAAAACTAAATACACGGTTAGATTCAGCATATTAAAGAACCCCATGAAATCAAGAATAAAACCCCATTGAAATTGGTCAAGAAATAAGCAATTTATAGGAAGTATCTTCTTTTGCACAATCCTGTGCTATTAAATATTTCTTGCTATTGCGCAATACTGTACAATTGACAATTTCTTGCTATTGCGCAATATTGTGCTATTGGATATTTCTTGCTATTGCGCAATACTGTGCAATTGAAGATTTCTTGCTATTGCGCAATACTGTGCAATTGAAGATTTCTTGCTATTGTGCAATACTGTGCAATTGAAAATTTCTTGCTATTGCACAATACTTATTATATAATAATTTACACATCCTGTTTGGTGTGTATCTCCTACCATATCATTATTATTTGATTTTAAATATAAATCAGAAATAACCAACTTAAAATGGAAAATTTTAAAAGAAACAAAAAAGGAAAAAAAGAAAAAAAAGGAAAAAAAAATAAATCCCCCCCCAAAATTTTTTGAACCCCCATTATGATTCATCACCCCCAAACTCAATCCCAGCCTTCCCTTTGTGGTATGGTACCTTGCAGTACAATTTCAGAGAGATCCATACACTTGAACACAAGTTATTGTCTGGAAACTAGAAAAAAATGTGTTTTTTGGCCCCTTTTTGGCCCCAAATTCCTAAACGTTTAGGGCAATTACCCCCAAACTAAAACCCAGCTTTCCCTTTGTGATATGGAACCTTGTAGTACAATTTCAGAAAGATCCATACACTTACACACAAGTTATTGTCATGAAACTAGAAAAATGCTTGTTTTTTGCCCCTTTTTTGGCCCCTAATTCCTAAAATTTGGAGGCAATTACCCCCAAAATCAATCCCAGCATTCCTTTAGTGATATGGAACCTTGTGGTACAATGTCAGAGAGATCCATACACTAACACACAAGTTATGTCTGGAAGTTACAAAAATGCTTATTTTTGGCCCCTTTTTGGCCCCTAATTCCTTTACTGTTATTACCATAACCCCCAAAATCAATCCCAACCTTCCTTTTGTGGTATTGAACCTTGTGGTAAAATTTCATAAAGATCCATTCACTTAAACTAAAGTTAGAATGCGAAAACCAATGTGTCTTCGGACGACGACGACGACGACGACGACGACGCCGGACGACGACGACACCAACGTCATACCAATATACGACCACAAAAATTTTTTTGCGGTCGTATAAAAATCTCAGAAGCAATTAAAAAAGTTTTAAAACCTGGATGTGAATTAAACCTAGAACAAACCCTAGTAGCAGCTTCTCTCATAAATTGCTTTGCAGAGTCTTCCCATATGGCAGGTACTGTTAGGACATAGTGTAAATCATTCTCCTGGATACCTTTTATTTTATCTGATATACTCTTAAATAAGTGATCCTTCAGGAACTGAATTGCATACTGAAACACCTTCAAAGCTTCCATTTCTTTATCAAGCTCATCTTTTATCTTTATATCTCTTGTGATTCTCTGCAAAAATATCCAAAAATTGTTTTAGGAAATGAATTTAGGTACATTTGTCACTATGCTAGTATTTATTACATACACAAATGTAGATATTAGGGATGTCAAGAAGTACTCCAATACTTCAGTATTGGGTAATACAGAGTATCGAATACCAAGATGATACTCATCTAATCAGTTTCCTGTAAGGCCACGGTCTCCTTCTCTTCATAAAATTGACTTTCTTGTGAACTCATTTAGTTAAATGATCTATTTATTATGATATATAAATCTGCTAACTATTATCTAGTCCCAGATAATAATGAAGAGGGTGTAATGTACATTAGAAAACTACCCATAAAGTGTTAAAAGGGCATATTTATTACTGTGTTCCCATTTTGTGAATAATTTTCAGAGCAAGTACATGAATTGAGTATCGCTCTGTAAAACCAACGAATACTTAATTAGTCATTATTCCATGATTTGACATCCTCAATAGATATTGATTCTAAAAATGTGTCTGCTTTCCAAGGAAGTAAAAGTATAAGCAAGAATTTAAAATAGCGAAGTCCATGTTTCTGTATGATAAATAAAATAAAATCACTAAGACCAGAAAGACCAAACATTAAAACAGCGGTGGCACAGCTGAATTCCGTAAAGTTGTTTTAAAGGAGTTGCGGATTAATTTTTGTGTATAAGTTTATGCAACAAAAAGGACAGTAGATGCTAAGTACTGCTGCACTGCTGCATGGAACATTGGAATAAATAAATTCCAAATAAAATGACTGAGCATCTGATGTGCATGTAGTTTTAACTGTCATGATGGTTAGCCAAATGTTCTCAGTATGTTTTAAGCCAAGATAAAGAAGGATAAAAGTCATTTATTATCATCTCTAGTATATATGGTTGGTCAAGTGTATTGTGATTCTATTAATATAATGAGAATAAAAGGAGTTAATTTGCTATACATGTACATGATGTATCTTGTAATTAATAGCCAGAGAAATAACTGTTAAACATGTTAAAATCATGGAGAAAAAGTTAAAAACATGAAACGTAATCACCCTAAAGGTAGCTGGGGTGTCTAAATGTTCAACAATTGATTTTTCTTAAACTTCTGTTAAAGACTTCTGGGTCAATGTTCTTTCATATTTCAATATAAAAACTTGGGGTCACAGACCTTGTTTTTTTCGTTAAAATACATTGAAATTAATGAAATCAGGGTTATTTTATACAAAAAATGTATTGGTTATCATGGTTATATAGGGTATACTTAATTTTTCCTTATTGAGGAAACATTAAACGATAGAATTGCTTTTCATTAATACTTCTGAAATATCATGGGCCTTATTTTCTTGAAAAATTCCCAAAACACAAATTGTCCCATGAAATTCAGCATAATTATTTGTCCTTGATTTTAAAAGGATTTTTTCCAAAAAAAAAATAAATACACTTTACGACACATAATTTTTTTGATAGTTTAATCGTTATATTTTAAGTTTTAGATAATTTTGTTGTATATTGAATGATACTTGGTAAATCAAAAAAGTATTTTTGCAACATGCCCGGAAGAGATGCTCAGAAAAAGACATCCGATCTACCTTAACATAAAATTTTAAAACTTGATACTCACCCTCTCATGGAGAAGCATCTTAAATCTATGAAAATAATAATAATCTTCATGTTCTTCATCAGCAACTAAATCAGAGTACTTGTTCTCAGCTTCATATCCAAATGCTACAAATTCCTGACTTGAATCCAGTAAAACAGCAGTAGGTGCTTTTAATGACAGTAGTTTAGATCCAGACCAGACATTTGTGTTAATCTTAGTTGGTTCCTTTGTATAATCATCCTTGGAACTGAAGGCATAGCCTGAATAAGTTGTACCGAAGTCTATAGCAGCACAAAATAACTTGTTTCCTAAAGCTCCTGCCATGACAGTAGTCTTTTCAAATTTTTACCTGTAAAACAAAATTTTATACATAATTACATGTAAAAAAAAATGTACATGTATTTATATAAATATGTATATAAAATTAAAATATAACATGTATAAGTTTCTTTTAAGTATATAACATTAAAATATAAGTTTCTTTTACGTATATAACATTAAAACATAAGATTGTTATAAGTTTCTTCTGTTATTCAGGTTAGACAGTGTATATAGTGTGACATTCCTGGCTTTGGGTTTATATTCCAGAATAATGTCATATTCTGCTGTTGCATTGGAAAACCAGTAAAACACAGCAGTAAATGCTGCTAAAATTTAATGTATAATTTGTCAGATAGATCCTTTTTCTCTGATTCTTCCCAGATTTATACTTTTTCCTGACATAATCAACTTGTGGTTTGTTTGCTCTCAGTTCTTCATTGCTCAAAATTCAATTATGACGACAAATGTTATTGCTGTCCTCTGAAATCCTATTGTGATGTCATGAAAAAGGCGACCATGTCTGATGACGTCAAATATAAAGAACACATCTTTTTGCAGATCAGTAAAAAAAGTGTGTCTACATAACGTCTAAAAATCATTAGAGAAACAAATTCCACCAAGGAATCTCCTGCAATACCATGAATACAGTTTTCAACAATGGACATTCTCCAACATTGTGGACTAGAATAGAATTCATGACAAAAGCCTCTTTTTGTTGTTGATCTTGAATTGCTGATAATTCTTTCTGTTTAAATTTCTCTTTATCGTCTTCAATTTTTGCCCAAAACATAAAAAGGGTAAAAAATTGCAATTAAAGGGCACTCCTATAAAGAGTCTACTAAAGATTTATGCCAAATTTGACTCACTTGTAGATGTTGTCTTGTTGATCATTTTTGCTGATTAAAGTGTCTATTTATCTATTATAGTTTTTAAGATATTAGAAAAAAAACACAAAAAAATGGGTAAAAATCGTCATTAAAGAACAATAACTCCAATAAGGAGTTTTTGGACGATTTCAGCCATGTTGACTCATTTGTAGATCTTATCTTGCTGATCATTTTTGCTATGTGAAGTTTCTATCTATCTATTATAGTTTTCAAGATAATAGGCAAAAATTTAAAAAAATTGGTAAACTTCTCATTTAAGGGCAATAACTACTATAAGAATATTATTCAAAGTAAATGGAAAATAGGTAGATCTCAACATGCTGAACATTTTTGCCACTGTCAGATTTTCTCTATTTATAGAGGTTTTCAAGATAAGACAAAACTTGCATTTTACCCCTATGTTCTATTTTTAGCCAAGTTGGCCATGTTGGTTGGCAGACAGGATTATTAGGCACATTTTTTTTAAACCAGATACCCCAATGATGATAGTGGCCATGTTTCTTAAATTTGGCCAGCTAGTTTCAGAGGAGAAGATTTTTGTTAAAGTGATTAAAAAAGCTTACTTGACCACTTGTTTTACATTTGTCATTTCAGGGCCTTTTATAGCTTAATATGCAGAATGGATTTTGCTATGGTTGTTAACTTCTATGCCATTTGGCCTCCGGTGGAGAGTTGTCTCATTGGCAATCATACCACATCTTCTTTTTTTTTTATTAGTTGTTGGAAGGGACAAGTAAAAAATCATTAAACTAGAACATGTAGAAGTAATCCCCTAATTAAACTTCAATTGTTTACATTATTTCCAGTGTTGCACAACACAAATACCGATTCAAAAACATTGGATTGCAATCATTTGATAAATAAGGTAGATGGGAACTCATTTAATAATTAAGGTAGATGGGGATCATTGATAATTAAGGTAAAATGGGAATTAAATCAAAATTGATAGATTCTTTTAATAATTTGCCAAAATGTAGTTTATATCATGCTTTTTTTTTTAATATAATAAAAAGTATGGGTCGCAGGGCTTTTTTCATGTTACAATTTTCATGACTAAGTTATCACAAGAACTTGAGATTAAATGATACTTTTTGGTTATTTAATTTACAATCAGCATGATAATATTGATGCAGAAATTACAAATGTACTTATGTGATAACTAATTTTATCATTATTATTACATTTTTATGGATTATTCAGTGAAATAAAAATATGTAATGATTTATTTCATAATTTGCAATGGAACACACGCATGATAATAAAATATTCCACAGCAATCTATGTATTTGCCACCCTGTCTATATTAATCATTTTTGTTAAAGTAATCTTTGTGTATTTAACTGGCCCTTGTGTCTTATAATTCATTCGAAATGACAATAAAAACTTGAATGGTGTACCCTAGGAGATGTTTTACACAAGAAGGAGATTCCACTATCACATGACTATTATACAAAGTTTTTTAAAAATAATTCTACATCTTTAAAGACATACAAAGGGGTTGACTGAGTCTTCGTCTTACAGTTTTAAGAATGTTTCCATCTGACTTATATCCATATTGACTTGTAACATTTAATGTAAAAATGATTGCAAATGAGACAACTATCCATAAAGACCAAAGGACAAAATTTATTTGTTCAGACTTGTAATACGACAGTGTAGGTCCTCAACTGAGTATAATGTCTAGACAGCAATTCTCAAATGAAATGAAAAATGCTAACATTTATTTAGTGTATAGTTACTGCTGTTTGAGAACTTTTCCAAAAGCTAAGATCTGAAGATTGCAAGAAGGAAGTTGTTTCGTATGATCAGCATAAATAGGTGGTGACATGTTTCTTTTCTATGGTCTTTTGAAGGAGCATCAAGTTAAAAATTGTATAAAGGCATAGAACTGCCAATGTATTGTTAATTTCACCTTTGCAATACCATCAAATACGAAAACTTGTTCTTTACTTTCGATTTCAATGCAGTTCTATCATAGAGCGCATGCGTATTAATAAAGTGCTATAACTTTAAGTCAAAGTCGGCCCTACGAATAATTCGGACCCTTCGTGTAGACGCGAACTCATACGTAAGTAAACAAGTAAGTAATCTTTATTTAAAGTCTGGTTTTCATACGTACAATAAACATAGAACATGAGAGCTCTTTAACCAACTGATATATATATATATTATAACATAACAGGATCAATTTTTAAATAGCAACACATACATTTTATCATCGTACAGCATGCCGTGACATACAATTGGCAATTCAAACAGCATGCATATGAATAAATACAGAGCACACGCAACATATAAAGCAAAGCAACATATATACATATAAAACACACACATGCATTAAAATCATAGTATATCAATACAGAAAAAGCACATGCAATGTAAAGAGCAGATAAGCATATTCACATAAAACACATATAAGCAATAAAACGTAAGATATCAACATATACATTGACATATCACACATGCAAAAACAATAAAATAAAGCACTAGTAAAAATACAAGCATGTGAATGTAAGCAACTAAAGCACAGTTTAAGCTAAAGCAAAATGATACAGCTTATTAGTTATAGCTAAAGACAGCAAACTATTATATATCCAGTTTGACTGAAATAAACAGATAAATAAATATAAATAGAGCTCAAGCATTATTAGTTCGTATACAGCAGATGTCATTACTTACATGAGCTACAGGTAACACCAAGTGGAAATATTTTTTTTGAACTGGCCAAAGGTTGACATGGTTGATAAGGCAAGGAGTTCCATCATGAGTCTTTCTGCCTCGTGATCAAAGCTTTTCGGCTTACAATACCTTGTTGTTTTCGGTCGTGGTATATCAGCTATGCCTTTGTACCTTAAATTATATGCATTTTCTTTAATTGTTATCAAATTATGAAAAGTCGGACTGGATTTATTTACTATTTTATATGTCTCTAATGCCATGGTTCTCATCCTTCTGATATTCATTGCTGGTAGTTTAGACTGTTCCAGTAGAGTGTTATAAGAGCTTTATATCAGTGGGTTAAACTGGATAAGTATTTTTTTTTGTGCTTGGCCTATATAATTCCAAGTGCATCAAGTTATTTGCAACAATCAGATGATGATGTATTAGATAATATTGAAAAAGATATAACTTATAAGTACAATCAGTTAGGTGATATCATATTATGTGGTGATTTGAATGCTTGGTCAGGTTCAGAGCCAGATTTTATACAAAATGATGTTTATGATACTCATTTACCTATATATGATGACTATGAATGTGATACTATTCAAGATGAAATACATAGCTATGGCTGTGAAATTTCAACGGGGGAATGTTTACTAGTACTGATTCAGCTGCATGTAAGAAAAGAAATGAATATATTTTGAAAAAGGTTTTTTCTCAGGATACTAATGAAAGGTCACATAATAAATTTATGAAATACATTCTTGGTGTTTATAGCAAAAAAAGTACTATAGCTGAGATGTCAGAATTTGGTAGATTTCCTATTTATTTTACAGTTATCTTATCAATGTTAAAATATCGTCATAGACTAGAAAGTTTGAAAGGTGGACTATTATGACTATTATAACTAACTAACTAACTAACTAACTAACTAAGTTATATAGATACAATGGATAAGCGTGGATTCTTGAAAAAGAAACCATGAGCCCGGAGGGCGAATGGTTTGTTTTTCATGAATCTACGCTTATCCATTGTATCTATAACTTAAACTATTGTGTTAATTTCTTTTCAAAATTAAAGCCTTTTCTTAATTAGAAGGTATTGTAAGTGAGTTTAAATAACCATGGTATCGTGTCCAACGATGCATTGATAAATCTCAGATCACAATTAATTGGTTAACAAAATACAAATATAACACTTCTACCTTTAAAGATCTTTATATTATCAGGCACCTGGATGTTATCTGTTTTTACAAAATAAGACATATTCGAACTTATTTCTAATAAAATTGAGAATGGAAATGGGGAATGTGTCAAAGAGACAACAACCCGACCAAAGAGCATATATAAAGTATATATAATAATAGTGTTACCGAAATTTCTAGCACTCTAGGCACATCACGATTTTCTCGCATAGGAATTTGCAAACAAACATTTGTAAAATTATGTAGTAAAACAGATGAAATCATACTATATTTATACAACAAAAATTGACAAATAGAATGTAATCATTTTTGTTTCAAACATGTGAAATAGCCAATAATAATCCAAAAAATAAACGGTAAAACTAGCTATTATTACAAAAATATCCACTATAACTATATCTTTTAACTCGTTAATTTTAAGCATGCTAACCTCGCGGCTACCAACTTATACTATACGACTGCCCATTGTGTATATATAAAGGTACAACCCCTGTGTGTCCGATGTTCATTTATATATATAAAATAGACATCTAAGTTGTAACCCATTGGTAGCCGAGAGGTTTTGTCGATGTGTTGATGTCAGTCATTCATAACATATTTCAAGGAAGGGTTCGATTCCCAGTGAAGGCATATACAAATTACAAAATTAAAAGTAAGTTTTTAAATTAATTCCATTAGTGAACAGAAATCAGTAAATTAGCCAATTCAAACTTAATGAAATTAGACACACAAAGGAAACAATTGAATATAATTTGGTGAGTCCATTTCAGTGGCAGATTTAGGAAGCGTTGATTCTAGAAAAAGAATCCACGGTAAATGAATAGGCTGACGTCACCACAATGGTTTAACTAGTTTTATTCAGTATAAAATCCAATACAAAAGGATCATCGCTGAAATACATGAAAACATAGAAAAAAGAAAAGAAAAAAAGAAACAACAATTTTGTGACGTATAACAAACAATAGACAAAAACACACATCAATTAAGCAATTATTCCCACTGATGAATTTCTGATTATGATACATTTGTCTATATATATAAGAAATTTGTTGGGAACATCAGTCTCCGTACAGTTCATTAAGGGCATACGTAACAGTTTTGATCCCACGGTGATTTTTTTTACGAAAATTTGCATACAAGCTATTTTTCACGTAGTCAATGCAAATGTAATAAAAAATAGACCTTCATGTGCTACTTTAAGAGATAAATGGGGTCGAAATTTTAATTATTTACTCAAAATTTCGTTTTTTTGAACATTTCTATCCTTTGGATAGACATACCTAACTTTTTTGTTTCAAAAGATAAACACGATAGGATTTTTGTAAAAACATTTGGAAAATCTCTTTTATATAAGTATGTTCTAATTTTTTATAACAATTCTTTGGAAATAATTAATGTTTATCAAACTTTCAAGATTTTAGGAAAAAAACGGAATTTTTTGCTGTATACTTATCTAATTTTAAAAAATCTCATCGGTGACTTTTTCATAAAAATTGGTACAAATAATCTTCATACGTAATCAATTCTAATGTCATTTTAAGAAAGTGGGGTCCATGAATTCGTTTTCAAGTTATATCAGTCTGAATGATAAAAATGAGTCGAAAAATGCATCTTTTCCCGATATGTCGCAGTTTGACGTCCGAAAAATAACATTTTACGTTGGCAACGTCATTACCTCCCCTGTAACTGTATCGTATGCCCTTAAATATTTGAATTTATCAAAATTACAAAAATATGGTATAATATTAACAATGTCATCATAAAACTTTTTCCTATCGTCTTGATAAAGATTGCATTCACATATGAAATGAAACCCATCTTCAATTTTTTTTATCAATACAATGTTTACATATTCTTTGACCCAAAGGTGTATTATTTTATCTGCCTTTTTCGATGTGTAAATTATGGTTAGAAATTCTTAATTTACAGAACTATCTAATATATTGTTTCGAGATATTCAACTTTGTATAAGTATCAGGTTTATATTCCCTTTTTAGCTTGTACATGTTGTAATATGTACGTAATTTGTTTTGGTCTTCACCTGATAAACGTGAGAAGACATGATATTTTTCATATCTTTCTTGTAATATATTTTTCACTGCAGATATGAGTTTTCCTTCTGACAATGTTTCTTTATTATTCCAGACATGGTCAAAACCAATGAATTTTAGAAACTGAAATATGTGTTTGTTAAAGGTACATGGAAAGTTACAATCAACATCTTCGATTGACTTATATGCTAATTTTGAAAAATTCAAAAGAGGATCTTTATACAAATATAGCCAGTAATAAGACTGAACCTTTTCAGGTGCAAAATTTATTAAAGTCTTTTCTAAATCATCATTTACACCTGGTGTTAATCTTTTGTCCAGGTTAAGAATGTACGGACCCCACAATTCTCTTCCATATAGAAGTACAGGTTTAACACAGGAGTCAAAAAGTTTTAAGAGCAAAGGTGTATTATTATATACACAATGAAATTTACGTTTAATCATAAAAATTACTTTAAGAGCTTTCTTACTAAGATCTTTAACTGCAGTACTGAAAGAACCTGATATGCTCTCATTACAATACCTAAGTATTTATACTCTTAATTGTAACACTTTTGATGAGATTTTGACCAAAATAAAAATTACACTTTCAATAATTTACCTGATTTATTGAACATTTTATATGATATATTATATGATTATTTTATATGATGCCTATGTGCAATAAACAGTAACATTATTCTAAAGTCAATACATGGTTTTCCAGTATAGAATTCAAGTTATACAAAAAAAGAGATTCAATTACCGAATTTTAATCAAAAACATGGTACTTTATGTAAGTTTGTTAAAAATAAATTTTGTGGCAATTTTCTTAAATATTGGAATCATCTTAAGTATCAAACAATGAACACTGACAAAGGCAAACTTGACACTTATTTTTCATTTAAAGATTGTTTTCAAAAAGAAAAATATTTAGATAACATTGATGTTAAAAAAGGCAGTC